CCTACATTTTTCAATCGATTTCAACAAAACTTCACAGGACTACGTAAAATTACCTTGCGGTGGTTCTGACAGCGGCCAAAAACTGGAAAAAAATAATTGTCTTTGCACGAAATCAATTTGAAAACACGATTAAAAGGAATCGCTGTTGCAAGAATTAAAGACGGACAACTCATATCGAGTTATACTTATTATAAAACCCAGGTTGTTTGTGTGTGTGTGTGTGTGTGTTCATTTATATATGGGATCGGATTTCCTACATTTTTCAACCGATTTCAGCAAAACTTCTCTTTTTTTGGCAGGTAGTGTTTCTTATTGTCTTGCACACTTTTTTCTTTATTTTTACATTCAGAATGCTTTAAAAATTCCATTTACAAGACAATTGTTTATAATAAAATTCTATTCAATCGATAGACTCATAACGATTGAAAACAATGTTTTTGTTTGAGTTTGGGTTTGACCAATTCGTAATAAAAAAAAAAACCTAAAAAAACTAATTAAGACATGCGTGTCCGTCAACCTTAAACAATAATCTTTGTCAATTTTATTTTTCAGTCTTTATGATGGTCGATACTTGATCTATCTCTTACTGTTACATCCCCGGGCAACGCCGGGCTCTACTGCTAGTACATACACACACACACACACATATATATATATATATATATATATATATATATATATATATATATATATATATACATATATATATTTGTTATTTTATTATTTTTTTACTTTATATATCTTATAAGAAATTTATTTTATTGAAATATTTAATGAAAATATGCACATTCGGCATTTTTCATGCGATGGTTAATCTCTGAAAACTTGCAACGGAAGCTCGGCAACGTATAGTTTGAACGCGTTGCTAGGAAGTAGCAGAAGCAAGCGCGTCTCGTGTATTGGTTATAAATTAAAAAAAAATAGAACGGAAATTTAGATCTACAAGTCAAAGTACGCTCTGGAAAGGCATCAGGCAACTTGAAAAAAACTAATGAACTGGAGGCCACTTGAAGGAGGATGCATTATAAGCAACACCTAAACTTGTAGAAAAATGAGAAGACAATCGGTGAATTGTAGTGCAGTACTTAAAATCGATAATTAAATTTAGTAAATGGAATTCGGTGGAACTAAAAAAAAAAAAAAAACAATGGCGCGGACAATGGAGTTCAGAGGAATTTATAGAAATGTCGGTCAGCGTTTAAATATTTATCTTTCCCTACTTGGACTACAGAAACTTTTTCAAACATAGTAGTCATCGGGGACGATGAAAACACCGGTTCTCGTTCGATCATCGAAGTTAAGCACTGTAGAGCCATATCAGTACTTAGATGGGGGACCGCTTGGGAACACCTGGTACTGTAAGCAGACCCCTACTACCGGGGTAAATTTCCATTTTTGTGCACCTCAAGGCGGTGTAATGGTTAGCAAGCTTGTCTCGCTAGAACAATTACGACTGAGTAGTGAGTTTGATCCTCACTGGGTGCCCCCTACTTCCAAACTTGTGCCACATCTAAGCTACGCTTGGAAAATCACTTTGGGTACCTCGAGGCGGTGTAACGGTTAGCAAGCTTGTCTCGCTAGAACAATTACAACTGAGTAGTGAGTTCGATCCTCACTGGGTGCCCCATGCTTTCGGCCTTGTGCCATATCTGAGCTACTCTTGGAAAATCTCTAGTAGTCATTGGGGATCTAAAATGGATGTATTACAAGTACTCACAATGAAGACATCGTGGTTCGAATGCCTTCATAGGCACAGGCAAAAACTCAGTCATAAAAAAAAAACTACAACAGATATCAATTTTGCATTTAATCTACTTCAAAATAGTCTCCATCTGAAGCTACACACTTTATCCAACGTCGTTTCCATTCATGAAAACATTCCTAGATGTCCATTATTTTTTAGCGACCCGCTGCTTCGTGGCATCCACTTGGATGTATACAGACGACTTGAAATATACAGAATTTGTGTAAATTATTCAATGAGACATGAAAACATGCTCGCAATATATATATATATATATATATATATATATATATATATATTAAATACGATATTAAATTCTAATATATTTATTTGTAAAAAATAGTATATTCCATTAGTTATTAGAAGGCGGTACTTTAAATCTGTAGGAATAAAATTTACACATATTTAAATGACCCTTTTAGAAAATCTTATATATATCTATCTATATCTATATCTATCTATCTATCTATCTATCTATCTATATAGATAGATAGATAGATAGATAGATAGATAGATAGATATTTCTAAATGAATGTGTATATCTATTCTCACGTGAATTGATTATATATTTTTATTTTGTACGTCTCGCGTCAGATGTAGCAGATGACGGAACTAATCTACCTTGGACACTGTTGTAAAATCTTCGCAGCACTCCCAGCTTTTTGGAAAATAAGCTGTTGCCAGAAAGACAAGTAACAAGGACTCTTGCCAAATTAAATAGTCAAGTAGGTATATAAATAAAACATCAAGCTGAAAAAAAATATCGTAGAAGAAAAATAGTATCATATAAAATAAGCAAAAACTGCAACAAAACGAAATAATAATAATAATAATAATAATAATAACAATAATAATAATAATAACAATAATAATAATAATAATAATAATAATAATAACAATAATAATAATAATAATAATAATAATAATAATCGAAGATACTGTTGGCAAGGAAAAATAAGCGTAATAGGAGGTAACAGTATTTCGAAGTGCAAACCACTGACCTTTGACATTAAAAACAAAAAAGTATATTCACCAAAAAAAAAAAAAAAACAGTCCCGACCAGAAGACCAAGTTTAATTATAACAAACAAAGAGGAAAAAAAGAGTCATATAATGTATACTATTGCTGTAGAAGGCTGTAGAGAAAAAAATGAAAGTGGGAGAACGGAAGTGAAAACGAATTCGACAATCATGTCCACTATTAATGCAAATAGGCTGTTCCCAAAGAGTCTTAAGAAGAAGATGGCCATCATCAGGAGTGTTATGGGAGCTTACGCATAATAACATAATGGACTATTCCATACGTAATAAATACTGCGCCTCAAGAGGAAGCAGGGACTTCAGCCTGAAGTCGGACGTCCGGTTGACCGGCTGATCGGTTGAACTCTCTGCCTTCGGGCGGAGAGGAACCCGAACGAGGCTACGTGTAAGGGCGGAGTCTCTTTCGGGGAGGTAAACCGAACCTGAACACGTTTATACGGGTTCAAAGTGGCATCGGACGTCCCACGTTAAACCGGCCTTGTGCCACATGGTGCCCTCGTGGAGGGGTTGACTAAATACTGTTCAGTCTGAAGTCTGGAGTGAGGTCCGTCAGAAGTCCGTCAGAAGTCTGTCAGTCAGTCAGAGCGAGCGAGTCAGTCAGTCGAGTCAGAGGCAGTCCGAAACAGAGTCGCGTTCAGACAATTACTACTAAACCTGATTGTTTGTACTAACACTTTCTACTTCTCTGTATATATTCCTGTTTGTAATATATATGTGTTATTCCATATACATGTTCGAGTTCTTCTTTATTGGTTCTACCTTGGACTATCACCGTGGTACAAGGAACCGGACCACAATAAGGAGAAAAAAAATTCTGCTTGCTGGTAGCAGTGAACTACAGAAATGAATGTCTTGATGGAGAAAATGAACTTTTGTCTGTAGTTTTCATTTGTATTTTCATTTTTTTAACATGAATTTTGGTCAGACCTTGTGTTGGTCAAACAGTTTCTTTTAAGTTGTTATTTAAGATAAGAGCTGGATGGATTATTGTTGCTCTGAATTTCCTTGGTCATTTTGACAGTTTTATTGGTTCCTGTAAAGGAGATGTTTCTCTATTAAATGTATGTGTGTGTGTTATTTGGTTCTTAGGAAGTGAGTGAGTATGATGTGTGTAAGCGTGGATATTACTATGGGTGTGTCATTATTTGGCTCATTAGGGAGTGAGTGAGTATGATGTGTGTAAGTGTGTATATTCGTGTGCGTATGTCTATATGTGTGAGGCCTCAACACTTCCGTAAGCATGTCTGTCTTGTGTGGGTGGGAAATGTGGGTAGGTCCTGATTTGTGGGGTTATATATTAATACTATTCATATTGTTAAATTTGTGATTAAGCCCGTCTGGATAGTGCGTTTTTAAACGTCGTATCCACTTATTTAGAACATTCTAATAATTAATACAATTAGAACTAATGCAAGGCAATATTTATAATTTACCAATCCTTAAATATAATACTAATGTAATACTTTTTAGAATGTTGTAAATATAAAATGATTCTTCAACATCTGTCTATATTTCTCAGATGAGGTATTGTAACTATTTACACGATTTACATTGTTCAGACTTGTTCTAGTCTTTATATTAGGACAGCAAATACCCAACAGATATCCCCTGAAGAAGGTCGGAGCGTACAACAGCCCAAACGTCGTGAATGTACAAATAGAGATGTCGTCAACGGTCCGAATAATGTAAATAGTGTAAATAGTTAAACAATCTAATAGTGTTGCAATTTAAAATTAAAAGTTGCAATTTACAATTTATTTAGAATAATTTACAACATTTTTGTTGTAAATTCTCAAGGACAAAAAATATAAATGTATAAATTCCCTTTAATCAAATGTTTAGGTTTTATTTCAGTTCTTATCACCACTTTTTCACGCAATAAAAGTTACCGAAGAGTGGAGGTAGTTGAAAAAGAAGGTTTCACGGAAAAGCCCCTTCTTTTGAGGGCATGTTTATCCATGTTTGCCGAGAACGTATCCTAATTAAAGTAATAAAAGCTTTCACCCCACTCCTATTATTCCCCTTGGGATGTCAAATTTTAATCCCAGGATTCTTTCCAATTTGCCAAACAGCCTACACGGTTATGCTTTCCAATTGGCATATCAGCTGTTCCGTCACGTTTACCTAAAGATTGTCCATGGACTGAAATTTCTTCAGTCATTTTAGATTTTAGAAAAAGCCAGAGCCAATGAGAAAACGAAATGAGATGTTTTCAGATGTGGCCTCTTGGCGAGAAAACTGACGCAGCTGCTCACGAAAAAGATCTTGCGTATATTGCAGAACGAATACTGTGCCAGTCTCATTAAAAAGAAAATCTAGCGAGAGATGCAAATATCAGTGAATCACGCGAGACATCGTCAAAAGAAGGAAAATTAGTTTGAGAATCTAAAGAAGAAAAGAACGGGGGAAAAATGTCAGGCAAAAATAGATGAAGTGGATATCTTGAAAGTAATTATTTTTCTTTTGTGTTCCGTACTTGAATTATTCTCCGTTATATATATATATATATATATATATATATATATATATATATATATATATATATATATATATATATATATATATATATATATATATATTGCTTTTATTTTTTTCTTACCTCATAAATTGTTTACTATTACATTTTTCTGACCCTGTACATTAAAAAATTAATTTGATGACACGATATCAACTTGACACCCGTCGCTTATACATTCACAGATTCAGTATAATTGTTGATTTCAAAAATAGATTAGATACACACACACACACACACACACACACACACACACACACACACACACACACACACACACACACACACACGCATATATATATATATATATATATGAGTATACAGCAGTATAAGTTATATATATATATATATATATATATATATATATATATTTACAGTTATTTATATCATTATTATAGATTTAGATTATATAGAATTAGATTTCAGGTAATAACCAAGCAAAGTGTGTGTATATATTTGTATATATATATATATATATATACATAAAAAAGAAGATAAATGAAACATACATATTTATATTTGATCATTAATTCATATTTTTTTAAATACGATATTAACTTCTAATACCACCCCTAATCTAAATAGACTGAATTTTTCTTGACCATAACAACTCAAAATATTAAGATTGTCTGTGCTTATAAATTAAGTAAATTTCTTAGAAAGTGATCGCTTGACAATGGAACGAAACTATGGATTTTAAGATACATTTTCATAATTAAATTTACAGTTTTAGTTTCAGTTTTGAAACAGAAATTTCTGTATCGCGATGAAATCATATTTAAAAAAAAAGAAAATAATTATAACATTTTGTATATATATATATATATATATATATATATATATATATATATATATATATATATATATAAACTTTTCGCCATTTTTATATTTTTAATTTCGCGCATGCGCGTTTTTTTATTTTTGTCGACTGCACAGTATAGTAGGGTCAATTGGGCATCGTTTGTGAAAGAATAACCACCATGACGCAGTTCACTCCGCCAGAAATTTGGAAACCACATATGTGTCAATCGGAGGACTGTGCAGAGGATTTGGAATGAGTTGGATGAATGTAATTGTGATTACGAAGGTGTTTGAAGTCATAATTAGAGATGGCGACGTTATTCCTCCATTCATCTTCCCCCAGTGCCTCAGACTCAACACGGAGGCGTACATCAAGTGCTTTGACGAGGTAGTGCTGCCCATGATCAAGAGTATGGCTGCTGGAAGGCCCTGTGTCTGGCAACAGGACTCTGCACCATACCACACAAGCAGGAGAACCCAATCATGGCTGTCAGACTATTTCTGCGAGTACATCGCCCTTCACATCTGATCACCTAACTCTCCAGACTGCGAATTCCTTGATTATCATGTTGGGGCGCAGTTGATCGAGAAGCCAATTTCTTTTAACACCAAAGATGAACTGAAGGCAAGGATTATGGCAGTATTCACCAACTTAAACAAGGAGACCAGCCAGAAGAGTTGCAGGACATTATGAAGTCGTCTGGAGTCCATGGTTGAAGCCAATGGGGGTTTCATTGAATAAATTGAATTGTATTTCAAGATATTTTTGTGCAATTTTGGTAAATATATCTTTTAAAACGAGATGACAGTGTTATTTTCATTTTTGCATAATTTAGACGACAATTTAGCCATCGCACCTGATATATAGAAATTTAAAAATAAGTTATTCCAAAATTCGCTTGAATATGAAACAGAACTAGTGCTTTTAATTTAATTATATAATTAAATCTGAAGTTTTAACTTCGGTTTTTAAAACATGGTAATTCCTGTGTAGCGAAGGAACCATATTTCTAAATCAGCTAATTCATAATATTTATGCTCTGTAAATTTACATTAAGTACTATTTTGTAAAAATAAAAAATATCAATGAGAACACCGGATTATATATCTTACTGTTCTTCCTTTTACGTATGTATTATAGTAAAAGGAAGAACAGTAAGATATATAATCCGGTGTTCTTATTGATATAAAAACCCTACACTCGCCTACCCAATTTAGAAAATTCACCATAGCTGTTACCATGGGGATTTTGATTTCAATTTTAAAACAAGTAAATTTCAGATATACGTTATTCCAACAAAAATTTCGCTTGAGGATGGAACGGAGCCCATTTTACTTTCAACTCAATTTAATTTAAAGGATTATATTGAAGTTTTCGGCTCTAGTTTTGAAACATGAGACATCTTATGTAGCGATTTGGAATCATATTTTTAAATAAATAATTATATTTTATATATATATATATATATATATATATATATATATATATATATATATGTGTGTGTGTGTGTGTGCGCATATATTTAAATTAGAAATTCTTGATTAATCCAAAAAAATCTGCAATATAATTGTCAGCTAGGTTTCATCATTTTACAGTCTAAATTAATAGATGTAAATGTAAGTTCTATGCTAAGAGTTTCCTCTCTCACATTTCTCGCTTGTGGTACTCTCTGCAGGCTTCTTGCTGATAAATTTTCCCCACCAACCTATCATTAGTTCTACCAGTATATTCAGCATCACACTGGCATTTAAAACCATAAATCAAACGAGCTCAGCTGATACCGAGTGAGCAAAGCATCTTTTCGAATGGATTTCATGTAAACTTTCGTTATCTTCTGTCTTCGTAAATTCTTGTTCTTTTATTGTTCTCTATCCTTAATAGTAGATTTTTCTCATATTCTCTAACACTCGGCAACGTGGTTTCATTGACTTGCTTGGGGTGAAATGATGAAAAATAAAGTTTCATTAAATTCAATCGACAAGTCTTTTTTTTTACTTATTGTTTTATTTTGACAAAATTGTATCTCAGAATCAGAATTGTGGTCAAACTTTACGAAATTCATATTTTGTTGTTTTTGTTCTGATTAATAATTGCGAAACATTATCCATTGCATCACTTGCACAAGATTGCAGCACTTTGTATTTCCAAACTGTCAACCGTCTAGATACTGGCCAGGCTGGACGGACGGAGAAATAAAATAGTTGATTTTCTTGTTTTTTTTTTTTTATATAACAAAATAGAGTAGAAGGACAAAAGAAATGAAGGTCAAGAAAGAAAATGATAACATCTACTAACACATCTTCCTTGCATCTTGAAAACACACACACACACAAACACATAAATTGAAAGAATAATGGAAAAAGGAAAAGAAAAAGAACCTACCTTGCATAAAACCCGTGAATCGACAAATAAATTCGCCGTATAACCAAACCGTGTAAGCACTTTCCGCGGCAGTCATCGGAATACAAAATATTGCAACTGGAAAATAAAAGATATTTAATATCAATAAATATGCATTCTTATTTTAAAATCAGGCAATAGAATCATCATATTTGATGATAACATATACTTTGCTTTATCAAACTAGATGAAATAATAAGAAATATACACAAACAATATATATATATATATATATATATATATATATATATTAAAGAAAAACAGACGACTTTAAGTCGCCATTGTAATAATTTATTTGACCAGAGACATTTTAAAGGACGCTGGATCCTCAGACATCAAGTCCAAAAAGTTGAAACGAAAATGAAATGAATATTTACACTTTTGACGGGCAGTATTAAATTTACACTTTTGACGCGTACTATTGAATTTTTCGTAACTTATATAAATATATATATATATATATATATATATATATATATATATATATGAAGAAATATAGTTTTAAGGCGTGCTATATTTATGGGATAAAGAGCTCAATATTAGAGATAGAGCGTATGTAAATATAAATATAAAAGTGAACATTGAAGTCAACACTCAGAGGCGACAGGCTGCTTCAAACTGGACGCAATCGTCAGGCCGCGAATGCTGGTTTTTTCCTCGGCTATTTATATATGTGGGTCATTGGTGCATTGTGGGTGATCTATTCTGGCGGTTATTTTTGCGGGAGTGGCTTGTTTGTTTATTTATTTGGGTTAATTTGTTTTACAGCATTCGCGGCCTGACGATTGCTTCCAGCCTCTGAGTGTTGACTTCAATGTTCACTTTTATATATATATATATATATATATATATATATATATATATATATGTGTGTGTGTGTGTGTGTGTGTGTGTGTGTGTGTGTGTGTGTGTGTGTGTGTGTAAAGAGCAAATGCAGATCAGTTATAGATCGGAATCCGACAGGATGATAAAAGAATAAATACAAAAGTATTAGTAAAGCATATATATAAAGTGGAAGCAATCTCTGCGAAACTCATAGTCGGGATAGATAAGTGATCATTTAATTTTATTTGCTAATCTATCTATCTATCTTTCTCTATGTCTATCTGTAGACATGAGTTCATAGCTATCTGTCTGTAGATATGTGTCTGTAAGTACCCATCTATCCATCTCCTTGTCTCCGTGTGAATCTATCTATCTATCTATCTATCTATCTATCTATCTATCTATCTATCTCAATGTTTTCATAAGTATCTATCTGAGGATGATAGGCACGTGTTCAGAGTTAGCTATTATATATATATATATATATATATATATATATATATATATATATATATATATATATATATATATATATATGTACTTATATCTATCTATCTATCTATCTATGTCTACTTGTCTGTCTATCTGTCTGTCTCTTTCTTTCTTTCTTTCTGTCTGTCTGTCTGTCTGTCTGTCTGTCTGTCTCTCTCTCTCTCTCTCTCTATATATATATATATATATATATTAAACAACAACAATGATTATATTCCACTAATTATCATGGCTTTGATGATAAGGCCGCTAATCTGGAATTTTTGGGAGGCATTGGATCACCTCTTAATTGTTTTTTCCCAGGTTCACCCTGACACAGGGTGGTGGTACCTGTTAGGGTCCCAGCTATGGTCAAATAGTGTACCCCAAAACTTGAGTCTACATGTAAAAATATATAAATGAATTATAAAAAAATGCCAGCAATACAATTTCATAGTAAATAAATAAAAGAAAATACCAGCAATATACTTCTTGAAAATAAAAATAAAAAAATTACGAAAGCTAACAAAGAAATAAAATTTCGGCATTAAATGGCCCATAAAGAATTGATATGCCATTAAAGAAACTAAACTAAATATCTTCCACCAAAAGCAATCGCGCGACTTTCGATTATTTTAGATAACGAAGAGAGAGTAGCATTGAAAGTACATACTGGAGAGATACTTTTGGATTTAATTTTAATTTTATATTTTACGATGTTGTTAAAATTGCTTTATTTATTTGTTTACTGATGAACTGTTGTTTATAGCCACGTGTTGTGAATTGTTGCTCGATACTTTTATTTTAGATTTAATGTGTAGATAGTTGTGGGTATCGGTGATTTTAGTATGTAGTGTCGTTTGCATTTTTCTATTTTTTATCAATGTAGATACTCTTGTCTAGAAATGTTACCAATCGTGTTGATTTTTTGTGGTCGAACTTAATGGAGTCGTGTACTGTGTTTACAGCCATAAGGAATTCAGAAAGTTTTTCCTCATTGCCCGTATATATGCAGAAGCTATCATCGATACATCTTGCGTAGAACATGCATTCATTATCGATGAAAGGATAAATGTGGGTCTCTTCATATTTGCCTCTGAAGATCGTGGCATATGATGGAACTGCAATGGTGCCAATGGCACACCCTGTTGCTTGTACGTAATATCATCCATTGAAATCGAAATTATTCAATGTAAGCATGTGTTGGATAGGTTTTATGATTATTTCCGTTGGAGGATCTTGTGTTGTTCTTTTAGTAAGTGCTTATTTAAGGGCGGTTATTCCTTCATTGTGTTTGTTAGTTTTATAAGTAAATTATGTTATGACTTCTACAGATAAAGTTGCGGTAGATTTTGAAAGTAGTTTTACTGACTGAGCTAGGGAATAAGACAAGCTAAACACACAGACACACACACAGACACACAGACACACACACACACACACATATATATATATATATATATATATTATGTTTAGCTTTTCTTATTTTAGCATAACATAAGGACATCGTACTTATATACCGGGTAAGTGACCAATTTTATCTACGAATCAATTGCGCGCTTATGAATTATTATTAGGTTGGTACAAAAATAATGACGAAATAATGTCGTTTTTGGACGTATTTTTTAACGTCAAAAAACGACATCATTACGTCATTATGTTTGCACCAATCTAATAATATTGACTAATATGTTTGACTTAAGGTGAGGTGTTTTTATTACTCAGCTTATATTAATCTATTGCGATAGGTCTAGCAATAAAAGTTCATATTAATATGAATGGAATTTTTGAAGTATTACAACATATGACAGAATAAAAAAAATAAAATTCATTAAATCTTTAGAAATTAGTTTCTTTAAGTTTCTGATAAGAAATTATGCAGATATGACTTTCGAGAAAATCTGAACGCGTAAATGTGCTTTACGAAAATTAGAACGTCTATTCAAACACAGTTATTCACCAAAAATAAGGTTTAAGTAATATACACACACATATATATATATATATGTGTGTGTGTATATATATACATATATATATATATATATATATATATATATATATATATACATACGTACATATATACAAATATATATACATACATGCATATATATATATATATACATATATATATACATATATATACATACATGCATATATATACATACATGCATATATATATATATATATATATATACATATATATATATACATATATATATATATATATATATATACATCTATCTATCTATCTATCTATCTCTCTCTCTCTCTCTCTCTCTATATATATATATATATATATATATATATATATATATATTCTACCTGAAGTGATCTGATTGGCTTCTGTGCATGCGTTTGTTTAAAGATTCTGTGTGGGTGTCAGAAATCATTCATATCAAATAAAGTCACCATGACAACTTCCGCTTGATTAGACGTTTGGGCCTCCACTTAATGCAAATCTATTCGACGTCTCCTCTCTTTGGAAAAAGTGTCAAATGAAATCTCTTGGAAGTACGATGCGAAAAAAAAAAAAGAATTAAGTCAAGTAATATCCTTTTATACAAATTATAATGTCAAGGATGTAGTTTTTCTACTACTACTACTACTACTAAAACACTTACTACTACTTCTACTACTAATACTAGAACCATGACTGGCATCCGTTCTACAACTGCTAAAACTATTTTTTTCTATGTATCGTGTACACCTCAGGGCGTGCTGTTCCTTCACCCAATAATAATAATAATAATAAAATCTGTCGCTATATAGCATATATTTGGCTATGCTGCATGTGCCTGGTATATTCTTATTCAGCTGAGCGTCACGATGAGTATATTGGTCTTACGATGCTTGTACTCACGCTGTTGCCGTCTTACTCTCTCATATAATAATAATAATAATAATAATACTAATAATAATAATAATAATAATAAGAAGAAGAAGAAGAAGAAGAAGAAGTACGATAATAATAATAATAATAGAAAATATTTTCTTATTGACATGGCTGTTCGTGCAGGCCATAATGTATCTTTGAAGATCTTAAGAAATCTATCAAAATACAAGGATCTTGAAGTGGAAATTTCAAAGATGTGGCACATGAAGACATCAATAACTACAGTTGTCGTTGGGTCCCTCGTTCAGATGGCACTTTACGAATGGCGTCCTTCTTCGATGTGCCACGCCCCTTCCGGACACACGTGATCATGGATCGCCATAACTTCCTATATCGTGTAGCTTTTAGCAGTTTTCCATCCTTTTCTAATGTCCACGTCACCTGTTTTTCAATTCATTCACTAAAGCTCCTCAAGTGGTTCGCTGACTTCTCCTATTTCTCTTGCACAAAATATGCACCGTGAGGGTTAAGATTTCCAAATCCTCTTTCTTCAGTAGATGTCCAAAGAATTTCAGCACTCTTTTTCTGATTTTGAATATAAATGTTCTTTCTGTTGACATTTTCTTTAAGACCTCTTTCTTGTTTACTTGTTCTGTCCATGGAATTTTCAATACCCTTCTCTTGAACCACATTTCTCTTGCATCTAGGTTTTTCCTCATCCTTAGGAATATTGTCCAAAATTCACTGCCATATAAGAGGACGGAAAAAGATGAATCCCGTTAAAATTTTAAGAGATAAAGATAATAATTTTAAAAAATATGATATGGAGACGCTTGCAAAGTGATAACGCGAACAGGTACACTGAATCCTGATTCATAGCATCGATCACTTAATCACAAATAACAAACTATATTAAATCAAGAGAAGACACAGCAAAATAGTAAATGTCGTTTGTCAGTAGTTAGATATGAGGCAGCCAGTCGTTTCGTAATTTTTTGTTGTTAATCCTTGTGGTGATAAAAAGTAACTCTTCAAGCATGATTGATCTCCTTCTACTATTCGGGAATGAATTAATCCCCTTTGCTTTTTTTTTCTTATGTTATATTCAGCCATTTTACGCTGAAACTCGATCCCTGTGATGGATTTATAAACATTTTTATAATCCCACTTTTAATGCTGACTGCCGATACCCCACGCGCACATCTGCTTAGTAAGTGACCACAGTAAATTAGCATTCCACAGTAAACTAGCATTCTCCAGTAAATTAGCATTCCACAGTAAATTAGCAAATTACAGTAAATTAGCATTCTACAGTAAATTAGCATTCACCTGTAAATTAGCATTCTACTGTAAATAAGCATTCTCCAGTAAATTAGCATTCCACAGTAAATTAGCAAATTACAGTAAATTATCATTCTACATTAAATTAGCATTCCACAGTAAATTAGCATTCTACAGTAAATTAGCATTCCACAGTAAATTAGCATTCCACAGTAAATTAACAAATTACAGTAAATTAGCATTCTACAGTAAATTAGCATTCTCCTGTAAATTAGCATTCTACAGTAAATTAGCATTCCACAGTAAATTAGCATTCCATAGTAAATTAGCATTCTACAGTAAATTAGCATTCCACAGTAAATTAACAAATTACAGTAAATTAGCATTCTCCTGTAAATTAGCATTCTACTGTAGCAAATATATGCATTCTCCAGTAAATTAGCATTCCACAGTAAATTAGCAAATTACAGTAAATTATCATTCTACATTAAATTAGCATTCTCCTGTAAATTAGCATTCTACAGTAAATTAGCATTCCACAGTAAATTAGCATTCCATAGTAAATTAGCATTCTACAGTAAATTAGCATTCCACAGTAAATTAACAAATTACAGTAAATTAGCATTCTCCTGTAAATTAGCATTCTACTGTAGCAAATATATGCATTCTCCAGTAAATTAGCATTCCACAGTAAATTAGCAAATTACAGTAAATTATCATTCTACATTAAATTAGCATTCTCCAGTAAATTAGCATTCTACAGTAAATTAGCATTCTACAGTAAATTAGCATTCCACAGTAAATTAACAAATTACAGTAAATTAGCATTC